GCGGTCTCTCGCGATTATCCCTCCGACTCCTGGAAGCACTTGCTTTCGAATAAGCTGGGTTCCCGTAAGAGGCCTCAGCTTCATATCTGCGACGTGTAGGACTTCGGGAACGAGATGAACGATGACGATGGAGTTTTGAATCCCTGTCTGTGTCGCGTTCACGCGGGCTACGACGATCTAAACTTGGCGATTAGCGCATTCCTAAATCTGGATGAATGTAAAAGGCATGCCTCTTCTATCCCTTTCTAGATGCCTACTCTCATCTTCCCTTTGAGAACGACTTGGGGAGCTGCGAGGCATGACCGTGACTGTGACAGGAATAGTTCAGGAAAAATAACACATCCTCGGACATTGGAGCGTGACTTGCTTCCCAAATTTGGGAATTAGCGACTCGTTCCTGCAGCCCTTCCATGGCACGCCTCAGCTTGCGACAGGCACCACACAACGAAACCATGCCTGGTCTCCCCGCTTCGCCATCGGCGATTACAGGTAGACGGGGAACTCTCCCTCAGGGCAAGTCTGGAACTCTCAAATACACGCCTCTTTCAAAACTACGAGCCTCTCTGGATTCGTCGCGTGGAAGGAATCCACCGGTTCAAGGCGTGAAACGCGAACGCGATGATACTGAAGGGGATCAACAAGTTCATGCATCCCAAAAGCGACGCGTGCTGTCACAGCCTATCGCGGTTTACCTGACAGCACAACAAGCATTCAAATTCCCAACCTCTGTGGATGCACATGGAAATGAGGATAACGGTGGAGACGGTCATGGGAAGAGAGGTGCTTCTGAACGGCTAAAGGAGAATGAAATTGATGATGAAGATCAAGTAGCTGGGGCTATTTCGCTCACACCAGGGCACGAGTCGAGTTCGCCAAGCGAAAAGGCATCCCGGGAAAGTCTCGTGGGGGATACAGAGGATACTGCGACGGCTGATGGGGAGAATGCTTTTGATGATCCACCCATTCTCCGGACCAACCTGGTGGAATCGTCTCCGGACTCTTCTCCGGAACCCGACGAGGTTCTCATGTTTCTCTCTCAAAAATCCAACGCCCCAACCCCCTCTACTAGTCAGCGCGATAAGGAGAGGAGAGAAGTTTCTGCCCGCGCCGCACAAATTGCCAAGGTTGAACCAGACGATTGCGAGGTCCCGGTGAGTCAAAGGTGCCATCACTTATGCGAGGTATCTTACCTACTCTTCGTTGGCGAAGGAGGATGCTTCAAAAGTGACCGCGGCTCAAGATGCGTCAAACGAGCCATTGTTACCAAAATCACCACATATACCACCCATGCAACAACCTCTGCGTTGCCCCCCTGCTACCCCAATTCGTTCCTCGTCCTCACGAGACCCATCCGTGGAGATTATCGAGAGACCTTCCACTCGGCCTTTGGAACATCACAAGCCAAGAAGGATCACTCAGCCGAACGAATCACCAAACACCCGAGAAAGGACGTCATTAAAACCACCGCCAACCTATCGCAAGTCGGACTTATTCTGGTGAGTTGTATGTCTCAAGGTTCTACGAGCCCTACCCATATTTCGAAGGACACTTGAGGACACTCTTGTCATCCTCCACATCGAGAACACCAGATTTCGTCTCCCTCGCTCCGAGCTGATTTCCAAATCAGAGAAACTTAGGATGTTATTTACCACATCACCAGCATCGGAAACCATGGATGGTTATCCTGTATACAAGGCAGAAGGGCTTGCAGAAGACTTCACCCAGCTTTTGGGGGTGGTCAAAAACTTGTATGTCTTCGACATGTTGTTCCAATCACGCTTCGTATTGAACTAAAACCGTCTTATATCCAGTCCCTGGAACCGAAAGCCTACTTTTGAAATGCTTGCTCCCGTGCTTCGCGCAGCAAAACTCCACGACTTTCCCCATGAGCTGGATTGGGCTACCAAGTCGCTTGCGGATCTGTTTCCCGAGATGACGGATAGCAAGGCAGAGTTTCCCCTCACACCAAGACCGTTCGCAGCCAAAGCAGCGGCTCTCGCCGAGGAATGCGGTCTCGACGACGTCTTGAAACCAGCATTGTACGATCTACTTCGGCAGTCATCCTTTGGCCTGAATCCGAGATCGACTCGTGTGTCCCATTCCGACATATCTTTTGCCAGTCAGGGGCTGAAGGACCGTCATATCCTCGGTTTGATACGAGCAAGAGAAACTATGGTACTCAAGTGGACCGAGATGTGCGATCCCTCTGCTTGTTCACATGACAATGGTGCGCAACCCTCTAATATGTGCACTTGTGCGACCATGTTCGGAGACGGAAATGCCGAGGGGATCGAGACTGCGAGGGCTGAGGTTTGGGTTCGCAACATCTATTCTAACCCCCCACAACGGTTCTGGAGATATTGAAAAAGAGAAGGGCTGCGCCAATGGGCAGATCTAAAGATGAGACTCATGATTCTGCGACTTTGTTCTCCATCGGCTTGCTTGATATCCTTCTGGGGATCGATCTGCTCATTGAAACGGATTGGAGCAAATTGGAGTGTGCCCACTGCGTCAAGCAGCGGAAGCGAGCGTGGCAACGAGAACGGGGTCGGGTCTGGAATACGCTCGGAAGTGAGAAAGCATTCGATCTGCGGATCACAGAGACTATCGATAGCTCAGATGAAGATGAAGAGTAAACATATCGATCCGCCCGCTAATCATGCCAAGATGTACAAGTCACAATTTTTTCGTGTTTACATGCTATGCTACAGAGCTTCCTCCACGCGTTCCTATAGGCGTCAATATCGCCCATGTTTGTTAACCATCACTTTCGCTGTCGTTCTCCATGGCGCGCTTGATTTCCTCTTTCCAAACTTCCTGAAGGCCCGCCACGGTCCGTCCCTGGCTAAACTCCAGTGCTTCCCGGGGCATCATATTGTGTGCATGCCTCGGAATATTCCTCCCTGCCAATACATGTGCACGCGATGGAATGACACGAAAAATAGGGGAGGGCGTCGTCTTGTTTAAATCTTGACTTTGTGATGGCGAAGTTATTCCTGGTGGATCCATGAGTGCCGCATTTGAACTGTAAAATTCGTGTAACTCTTGATAAGTAAAGAGAATGGGGTCCGTTCGTTGTGCGTAGGGATTGAAATCCATGATATGGGCATTGGACAAATCACGAGTGAGGTAGATGTCTACTACGTCTGAACAAGGGGCCTAGGTTTGTGCGAGAGAGATAATGGCAAACAAGGAGCACTGACAATTCGGACTTCCAGTCCAAGTGTCTTTCACCTTTTCGGTCCAAAATCGTAAGGCTGTTTGACGTATTTGCTCAAAAGTGCTTGGTTCGTTCAAGAAATCGAAAAAATTAGGATCTCTTTGGCAGAGTGCTGTGGAAATAATAATACGGTGAATTAATGCTGCGTACTCGGTTTGCACACAAGCAAGGGGTAAACTCACCAATTAGCCGGCCATCTCTTATAAAACACCTTATTTCCCTTGGTCCCTCTACCGGATACCATTTCTTCAGGACTAGTTCCAGCTCATAGCTTGGTACATTCACTTGTATATCAAGGCCGCAGCCCTCGAAGACCCTCTCGGGCTCTAAATCGTGGATAATAAAGTCTGACGACTTGAGCAATAAATACACATCCGCTGGGGATGTGCACTTCAAGGGAGAAGAAGGCACCAGTACCCAGCTTGCGTCCTGAGAGTGAATTAACGTAAACCTTTAGCCAGAGCCATTCCGACAGATTCCACCTACCTGAGGCGAGGTCCAATTTAATTTTGGAAAGACAGCGGTATACTCATCAATAATTTCACGAATCTTGGCATCAAGTTCAGGAAACTCGTAAATTGGACTAATTTCTGTGGACATTGATAACTCTTCATCTCCTGAAAGCTCATCATCTGAGAGTGTAGAGGTTTGCAAACTGTAGAGCAATTTACAACTGTGCACTGAGGTGACATCATCATCAGCTTACGCATTCTCTGAACCTTTCGGGAGCGTGACACCGTCAGAGAGCAGGTATTCTCGAAAATTAGAAGGCAACGCTCGTATGACGGTTGCTTTAAAAGTGATTTTCGAAAATGTAGGGTACCAGGAAGAGAACTGGCATGCAATGACATCTGCAGGTGTAAGAGGTGGGAGGTAATCAGAAACAGACTTCCTACCACCCTCGAGTCAGATGGTTTAGACCTGGCAAACATCAAGATACGAACCTTCGCTGAGCTCATGTCGGAGCGCGATTGAAATCTCGTGATCACCAATTCAGCTGCTTCGCGACGAGTATTCGGCAACAACTTCAGAGCTCACGCGATCGCATGGCAGAGAGAAGCGTGTGTGCGCGCTACAATATTGGCATTAGATCATGTAGTCAGGGTGGTGTTGCAATTCCTTTTGATCCTTCATACGCCTTGTGGCGTTACGTTGAATTGACTATCAAGGAGAGTTGTATGTCTAATCGCCCGTATTCTGTTATACCATAGTATCGTAGCCTGAGGGAGCACTCGCTGGGCAACACGATCACCCTTGAGCCAGCGGCAGATATAACCACAACACAATGCAGGCACGCCGGCCAGGCAGAACTATACGCGCTGTGAAACCTCGGGGCTCATGATGCCTTTTCTGATTCGTCTCGACAAGAGAGTTGGACACCCATAATCTGTACGTCAAATTCCTCTGGGCCCATGATCCAGGGCGGCCACCGGCTCGCGCGGAGAATGAGCCCCTCTTCATCGACGGCAATTGACATCTATGCGATGTTTCGCTTTTGCGTAGACATCCATTGAACCCGTAATAGTACACTCCCAAGTAACCTTTCATCACACCCGAGCTTACCAACTTATTTCATACCTTCTGGGTCTTGTTATGGGGGTCGGGGGATATCTGTGTTTGAGCATCCCGTATCCACGTCTATCATGCCGCTGGACAGGTCCGAACAATCATGGCGAACCGATAGGGTGTCTACATTAAGGTGACCCTCCGCGAGGTAGGTGCTATAAGAGACGCTACTTGGCAATAGCCTCACTATTCAAGTCAATCCTTCAACATCGTCATGTTGCCGCAATGTCGTGGTCATACTATTCTCAACGGGAAATTCGGCCAGATCGTGCAGCATCAGTACCAAAACGCCGATGGTGCATCCTATAAGTACGTGGATCTGGCATAATCGCTTATCCTCGTATCCTGGGCCAAACTTATGCACGGTAAGATGGCGGGATTGCAATACACGTTAAGGAGTTGAATAGACCTTATGACAAATGAATCATGATATCATGATGTAGAAGCCACCTGAGAGAACTCGGGTTGTTGTGATGCTGGCTTCCGTTCTTCTATCTCTACATTCTATATACTTACCCTGAGCCTTGTAACGGCCAGCCGCGCAGAGTCCCTTTCTAGGGACAGTTAGTCAAACTCCAGCGAATCAGCCCCAGGGCAAGGCCAGAGTACTCCTTACAAGGGCCCCCGTACGTAGATGGCCAGGGGTGCTGCATTTGGTCAGAGAGTAAGGAGACTTGAAAATGACAGCGGGGTCGTTACAACCTCAGAGAACTGATCTTGGCACTGTCAGGTTTTTATGCTGGGAGGTTTGATGGTTGTCAGCCCACCTGTGCAGCAACCGAGGTGTATCGATCGAGTATATGAAGAGGCGATCAAAGGACGAAGTTTCTGGTCATGGAGATGATGGTACAGGACAGAAAAACCGGCTATGCAACGAAATGTTGCATTTTGTGGGCAGTATCTTCAACGGTAGCGCGTCAGTTAGTAAGAGAACCCCCGCCTTTCAATAGGACTGCTTTTCGCAAGATCCACTCACGTAGTGAGTCATCAGAATCCAAATAGTCCCCTCTGCAGTTCTAACAGACTAGAATAGGGTAAGGATAGGGAGCCCGGGACATCGAGTCATCCAGCGCTCATGCCAATCGGTCTAGGCCAAGTAGAGAACAATTGAGCTCCACGCACGGAGTACCCTCACGAAAGCCCGACGTGCATTCTAGGGGCCCTGAAGCGGGGAATTTGCTCCAGAGCCTGTTGGGTTCCGTGAGCGAATGAACACCATACCACCGATCCCAACAAACCATCACGATTAGCGAGGAAAGGATTCTCTTCTTTATACACGGTATAACAGAGAGGCCGGATGAGGGTCGGACCCCCAAATAGCCCAAATATCGCCCAATCATTGTGACGATATTAGAACTGTCTCAGGTAGTCACCGCTGTCGATAATCACATTATTGACAGTCGGGTGACGGCGCCGATTTTTGCATTTCCAACAGACTATGCCACCAGCGAGAAGACCTCCACAAAGGTTTTCGAATGCTGACATAGTCATTTCCGCCGCTCTTGAAAGCGTGAGAGACTAAGGGTCAAGTCTGGTGTGATGTTCAGCTGCTCCACCAATTTGCGTAGCTCATTTATAGGTCCGTTCACTTAAGTGTTGGGGAGTTCAAAATTCCTGAGTCTGGGCATGTCCAATAAAAACACATTATAGTTGCTGATCGAGGACATGTGGTCAGGATAACAGCAAAGATGATGGCCAGTTGACCGGGCGGTAATGTCCGGGTGATCATGCACGACCGGGGCTCCCCTGGCGATGATACTATGCATGACAGTAGAAATCAGCAAGTGAGTGATGAATGGGAATTTGACATGCAGCATCGTATCAGGTTAGCTAGCACCTCAGCTTACGCATGAGTACGTCATCATCAACAAATGGACCACCAAAGTAGACAGGAACTTGGGTCATGTAATCGTCATATCATCTCCAGATATTTATCAAACACTTCCGGCACCTGAGGCTGCAAAGACCCGGGCAACAGCTAGGTGAAGATTGCAAATCCGAGGGTCAGGTAATGGAATCTCATCGCTGCCAACTCCCTGCCCAAATCCCATTTCATCCCCATCACGAAGGTAAATGGTAGCTGCTACTTCTTTTGGTCGAACGACTCGGAAATAATAGTTCCACTATTCACTAAATTATATCAGGGTCGAACCCAGACTCGAACCAATTTGTATCGTACCCATTTATGATCGACTAATCTGGCTTCAATCCCCCAGGCTAGTTTCTGGTCCATTGAATCGTGGGCATTGGGTTTCGATATTAATGGCATTAGCAGGATGGTTTATGAGTTGCTGAACAAGCTCTGCATTCAACGTTTGGCCGGTGAAGGTCTCAATCGCAGCATGTGCATAAGGCTATGCATGAATCAGTGGGGAATAGTGCCTGGAAAGTGGTTTCTACTTGGAATGGATGGAAATGGGATGATGTGTGTGCAGCGGGGTACTACAACCCTATCATCACAAGAAAAGCGTAACGGGTAAGAGGGCAATGAGTCCCTCGCGAAGAAAGACCTAAAGAGTATTTTCAGAGAAGCTCTTAGTCATAATCAACAGTAGATGGCAATGCACAAGGTCTGTCAAAGCCGATTGACTTCGACGAACTGTGGCCGACTCTAACAACGATGCAATATCCTCTATACGCCTAAGATTAGGTGTATGATGTATGGAATGTTGATCTTCTTTTTCCACCGGATTTCTGACTAGGAAAAAATCTAAGTTAAAGATGAAAATGGAGATTTTGCGCCCTTACATGCGATAATAAGATGACAAGTAGTAACTTGCAAGTTCTGTGAGATACGTGGTATTACCGTTATTCTGTTCAAGCTCTTGATGCACAATAGCTGCCCAGTCGTCCGAATTGACAGAGCGATCGTTGTCCAAGGCGTCGACTTAGGGCAACAAATAATAATTAAATAGGTATCACTGCATGTAAAGGCGTTCTCACCGAATCCCTTCACAGCTAAGATTCCGCACTTCCCAAGCTCCACCAAAAATCCTCGAGCGATTGTTTCCGGAGATGGGGAGTACTCGATAACGGCTTGCAGGAGTTTGTGAGCTGGCACGTTGAAAGTTGAGGATAGTGTTCCGCTGCGACTGGCGAATCCCAGCGGCGGACGTTCCGCGTTGTCTCGCTTTCCCATCACTTCAGGAGCGCTAGGGCGTAAGACTCTAAAGGGAGACCTGCCATGTTGAGAGGCCCAGCTGGGGGCAATGTTGTTCAGTCCAAGAACACTAACACTAAATCCATGCGACGTGATTCGCCGGAGTCATGTGCCAAAGAAGGAAAATAAAAATTTCATTTCAGTTCCAGCTTGGAGGACTTCCTCCTTCCCTTCAGGGATGTTCCTCAGAGGCATCCGTGCGGCTAGTTTTCCCCGCCCACAAGGTGGATTCAAGGATTACATACAACCTCGTTGCGAAGCGCCTTGTGTCCCTCGTCCTCGTCCTTTGAACCAAAGGGTCTCGGAACAGTTCTCTCATTGACATTATTGTCCGTTTCTGCGCTCCCCTTATTGAGTTGGGTGTGTAACGACACTTCTAACACATCCCTTTGTCGAGAAGAGCTCAATGCACCTGCCACGAGGGTGGTCCATCGCGGCACTCCTTCGCTGTCACCTCCATCATTCACGGGGCTCAGTTAGCCTAAGTAACTCCTACAAGGCTG